TGATTTATACAGGAATATACACAGGCATATACACAGGAATAAGAATGATATCGAGACGAAGGGGATTATTCAAATGATGACCAATTTGTGGGGAAGAAACGACTATTAGATGTCGCCAGGCTAGGAAGCCCTGCTTTTTGGCGTGCGTGCTTTAGTGCATGTACATATTTGTAATTTTGTTTATGTTTCACAGTTTTTATTGAAATCTTTTAGGCTAAAATTCTATAAATATCAGATGAACATACACAAATGACAGCAAAGGTACATATACAATGGACAAATAAAAGTTAGACGCCTAGCACCACATTTAATACAGTAAGTATATATAACGATATATGCTATTAAAGTAATGAATTTAAATGAATGCATGTAAAAAGATAAATTGCCACTATGAATTCGCTAATACAATTTTGTAATAATAGCGTTGATTATCTTACGTTTAATTAGTCATCAAATTCGTTTGTTGCGTTATCAAAGATGTAACAAGAAAGACGGGAATGCCAGGACACAAATACAAAAATACTACTGACAGTAACTACAAACCGTAACCACAAATAGTAACCACAAACGGTAACCACAAACAGTAACTACAAACAGTAACTACAAACAGTAACTAAAACAGTAACTACAAACAGTAACTATATACAAACAGTAAGTATATACAAACAGTAGCTACAAACAGTAAACTACTTAACATAGACTAACATAGACTAATATACTAACAGACTACTAACAGAGGGTAGATAATCAATGATCTTCTACAAGATAAACATTTATGATTGGATAAGTTAAATGGATAACTGTATATGGAGAGTAAATAAATAACGATGTAGTATCACAGTACAATACAATTGTATTACAAACTTTGGAGTAAATAGTCAGCAAATTCACGGATTGGATGGAAAGTTGTGGGGAAAGAAAGCGCGTGGGATTCCTTTTGGGTAAAAGGTAAGCCGTGTATACATGATACATTTTACATTTTAACAGAGTTAATGCAGAAACCGGTATTTAAGACATTATATATGCTATATACGTATATGCTATATAAATGGTATATATATGCTATATAAATGATATATATATGCTATATATATGCTATATATGCTATAAAAAAAAATTGGCAAGAATCAACATCGAAGAGTTAGTAGATTGTCAGGGATTCAGGGTCTAATATAGTATACGAATATGTATTACGGAGATTATTTTAGTGACTTCACGTTCAATTATGTTCAACTATGTTCAATTATGTTCAATTATCTAATAATCACAATGAGTATGTTTCGAAAGGCTGGTTGGGCTAAAGTGATAAATAAAGCATGCATAATCATACATGATATAAATTAATTTGATGTTTTGGCCACGCGCATAAATTGATAAATAATTGACGTATTTATTGCCTTTTGATGCCATTGTTATTGTTTAATAGGTTTAATAGGTTTAATCCTTAAAAATTTTCTATGTGTTAAATAATAATTGGATCCTAATTCCATGCAAAGTCAGTCATTTGACCACAATTACCACAATTGCGTATTTTTTTTTAGAATATGGCACGTGTTTAAAGAAATCCGCCAATCAGATTTGAATATTTTATAACAATTTAATTATTAATGTAATTATTAATGAATTCCGGCATTAACCGCCATTGTTTTATATTTTAGATGATTAAAATACTTGTAATACTTGTATAAAATATAGTAACATATTCAATTCCTAACTAAATAAGGGTAATTTGGAGAAATTTTGTTTATCAAAATAACAATACTTCATTCATTCATTCATTCAACTCATTATGTTATGCATATAGCCAGTTACTACATGATATTGTCTTAAAAAAGCCTGTAGAAACGAATATATCACGTGTAAAAATGTGTCAGTTCAATCAATTTCTATTCCAATAATCGTTACATCACATTAGCAGTTTCTTATTTTGTTTAGGCTTGGCTCCTCTAGACGTGATCGAATCCTGTAATAGAAACCTGTCATGATATTTTTCTGCATTGAAATCGTTTCGTTAGATATTTTGTAGATACAGTAAGTACGTACGTACGTATGTACGTATGTATGTACTTACGTACGTGTTTGGCTTGCAGACTCCCCGCCTAAGATTATAAATTATATAAATTATATAAATTATATGAATTATATGAATTATATAAAATTTTCTTAACATATTCCTATATTTTCCTATATTACCACGTTTTATACGTAGTGTATAAGTGTTGTTTTCATAGTATATATATAGATAGATATAGATATATAGTGTGCTATACTACTGCTACTACTGCTATACTGCGTTGCTACTGACTAAGTTACCATTTATATACATTTCATTGGATGCGCAAAGACCAATCGGTATTAGATTATTAGAATACAAGTGGATTACAAGTGGACTTTTTATCTTTTATTACAATGACCATTATCTTATTATCTTATCTATATGCAAATTAAAGTGTAATCATTTATTTCATTTGTGGATATTTAAAACACAAACAATATATTATCGGTTATTGTGTGATATTTATTAAAAATATGTCAAATTTTCTGATGTCTCGTACGGTTGATGTGCCTTGTGTGCATTGTTTATGTTATTTGTGCTCTCACTTTCAGCCTACAACATGTCTAATATAGTAGATTACTTTATTATAGAATTGTTTCCGTTTTAAAAAAAAAAAAATTTTTTTTTTTTTGCAATCATATATATTTACACGACTCTCGGATTTACCAAACTACTGATCCTTAATCATTAACGAGCTTAACGACCATTTTAACGACTTTAATATTCTGCTGGCTTCTATATCAGCTCTATTTCTGGTCATTTAAACCTTCCTTCCTCCCTCTCTATTCTTTACTTCTTAACGTCGTAAATATAATATAAATTCATCAATATATATATATATATATTATTACGTAATTTTATTTTTTATAATTCTATAAAAAAAATCTATAAATTATATACCTCACGACTGTTATTGCCCGATTTCTCACGATAAATCTTTAACGGTTTCACCTATTGATGAAACCAATCGTTACGCAAATTCAACGAATCAACCTTTTTAATTTATAAGGGCTCGTATACGATTTTGTTATTCTTTTTAAGAGTTTGTCGTTAACTGAAGAATATATTAGCTCTTGGTATACACCATCAACCGCCCTACTATTTCTCGCTCTCTTAAGTATTATCGATCGAGATATTGCTTTTTTCCGTCTTACAATGCCTCACGCCACAGAGACATTGAACTCATTGACTGGTGGTGCCTCTATCTTGTCGTCATTGCCTATTCCGATTCCAAACAGTACGATCTCGAACAGTCTGTACGGTCGTAGTATTTCCACTATAGTTGCCGAACCGTCTGTATCTTCCCATAAGTATGTGCTAATTTTTTTATGTCTTTGTCTGAATTTTGTTAATCTTTTACTTTTCCGAGATTACGATCTTTTGATCTCGTTCGTTCTATTTTTCTCGTTTATTTAAATTAGTCTATTTACATTTTAATTTTTATTTTAATTTTTATTTTAATTTTTATTTTAGTTTTTATTTTAGTTTTTTATTTTAGTTTTTTATTTTAGTTTTTTATTTTAGTTTTAATTTTTATTTTAATTTTTTATTTTAGTTTTTTATTTTAATTTTTATGTTAATTTTTATTTTAATTTTTTATTTTATTTTTATTTTTTTATTTTTTAATCATTTAAATTGATCAAGTTTTTGTATGTCTTTATATGTCTTTGTATTTCAACCTTTTAAACTATATCTTTTCAATTTCTAGCTCTTACTCGGATTACCTACATAATTCTGTAACAGCCTTGGCTGATGATAATTCGAGTACCTTGCATGATCAAGACTTATATGTTGGATACTCTACGGACGGTGCCAGTTTTACTTCTCTTCCGTCCGATTCTCATTTGAAAGTCCTCGAAATTAGTCATTGTCGTGATAATATGTGCTGTAACATGGATCATGGCAATTTACACGATCTTTTACAGCATATTGATACTTTTCACCCGAGATTAAAAGTGGTAGATGGTGTCATATTTCCGTTTGACACCAGTACCGTGTATACTCAATGTGAGTCTCTTAATCACATGACTATAATTTCTCCGGTATTTATTACCGGGGAATCAACCGTACATAATTTATTGTTAACGATTTTCGTTCTGATCAAGTAGACAACGGTTTCCATACTTTTAATACTGCCCCTCTTGGTTTTGTGCACCATTCTATGGCCAATTCTTCTCCTCATAGTCCCATTGCCGAATCAAAGCCTATTCTTAACTCTGATGATATCAATTTCCATACTTATATAGATGATGCTCCTTCATCTGTTATGAGTAAACAAAAGTGGTGCTCTCAAAATCTCGGTCAAGGAAACGTTTCACAAGATGATAAATCTTGTGATTCCGACGCTGAACTCCGTCTTCCTTATCAGTACTCTGTGCTGTACGAAAATAAACACACGCTAAATCCTTCAAGTCTTAGTATTAATGAGACAACATATATTCGTGATCAAGCTCCTTCAAATTCTTCTTCAATCTCTACAAGCTATGATTCTCCCCCACATGCTTTTCAAATGAATGCTGATCAAGATCAATTATTATCTGCTGTTCAATCTCCATTAATGTCTTATCCTACAACTCCTATTTCTGATTCAAGGGAATTTTCTTCTTTCATTTTGGACAATCAGTCTTCAATTTTAACTTCCTCCCCACCATCATCTACGACTGTTCATACTAATATAAATAATAGGCAACAAAATTCTTCTATTATAACTAAAAAATTAAAATAAAAATTAACATAAAAATTAAAATAAAAAACTAAAATAAAAAATTAAAATAAAAATTAAAACT